GTCATGTTTCTAAATTTGATGGAGTCACAATACTTTAAATAATCAAGCATCTACTTGTTTGCTATCTGAACTATTTATTATGGTGTGGTTACTTATACCAGGATTATGTTCATTCAGAACAGAACTGAGTGAAACCCAAACCTCATCTGAAGGCATGTGATCATCTGTGTGTGTTCCTGTCTGAATGATGGCTCCATCTACTGGTCATTCATGAGTACATCAAAACAGTGGATCTCATCATCGTTTGCTTCATGTGAGCGGCATTTGCACTGATTTTATGTATATCCTGAATGCAATGGATAAAAGCATCTGCACAAATACATATATAAATATCATGACAAACTGCTTCTGAATTTCCTCATTTGTAAGTCACTGTGCATAAAAGCATCCGCAAAAAATAGCTGTAAATTTGTCAAGAAGGATTTAGTTGATTTCCAAATGTTGTTTTATTGTCTTTTCATTGTTTATATGTCATTTGTGAATCATTGTTGATGATGAGTCCAAGAAAAATACTAAATGGACAGTAACATGCAACTTATTCTAAACGTAAACATCTTGTGTTTCTCAGATTGATGGACTTGCATTACAAACTATCAACTACTTTTTTTTGCTATCTTCATTATGCATGATCATGTGGTTACTTGTACTTGTAGGATTATGTTCATTCACACTAAATCCTCTGTGTGCTTCTTGAGTAACAGCTCCATCAGCTGGCCGTTCATGAGTTCTTCACTCATCTGCTTCATGTGAGCAGTGTTTGCACCGATTAAATCCTTTTTTCGAATGAAATGTTATTTGCTTTGAATAAAAGCATCTGCCAAATGCATAAATACATATACATATAATGACAAAATTCTTCATTTGTAAGTCACTTTAGCATAAAAGCATCTCCAAAATCTGTCCTCATGCTCTAATGTAAATGTGGTTTTACCTGCGATGCGCACTTGTGCGACGGCTCCGTCTCCTCCCTCGCTGTGCGCGCGCACCTCCACCAGGTAATCGCCCTTCTTCATGGGCAGATCGATGGACTGCTTCACTGTGGTGTACAGCACGCCGTTGGGCTGACCCTCCGGCCTGTACAGGACCTGAGTGAGAACAGCACAGAACCCACCAGATTTACACACAAGTCACACATTTCTATAACACCAGAAAAGAGGATTCAGTGAAACCAAGATAAAAACGGAAAAATAATGCTAAACCAGGGACAGAGTGATTATTAAGGAGTGATATTTACCCCCTTAAACTGATTTCCGGGGGCATTTCTACCTTCATAAGGACAAAATTCTTCATTTTACTCAATAAATGCACTTGGAATATTAAGCCACTTCAGGGCTGATACCAGTCAAATGAAATCGATATCAACAACATCCAGCTTTGCACTGCAGAAGTGGCACAGAAGCTGCATCAGAAGTGGCATTTAGATGGATTTACACAGACTGTTTAATGCACCTCAGAGATGCCATGAATGCATTTACACTGCAGTTACAATTGCAT